CATGATATTATACAAAGTCTGTATAAATGCTTTCACAAACAGTGCTGTAGGATAACAACTGTCAGAGAGAATTTCTTAGTTATCTTTTTCACAGTCTCATGCAAATAGACATTTTTTTTTTAATTTCATTCAATAGGTCAACTAACATAGTTAACTCGGCATAGTGAGTTAATTAGTATGAACTCTGAAGCCAGGCTGCCTAGGTTAAGTCTCAGATGTACCATTTACAAACTATATTTCCTTGGACAAATATTATCTTAGTGTCTCAGTTTAATCATCTATAAAACGGGGATATGTAAATATGAATATCTACAGTATAGTCTTGTAATGATTGATGAGTTAGGTGATACATGGTTAGTACCTAGAATAGTGCCTGACACATAGTAAGAGCTCAATAAATGTTAACTATTATTATCCTCTATGACCCATCAAGGCAAAATGTTTTTCAAAATCAGAATTTCAACAGGGATCAAGGAAAAATTCTGTGTGTTTAAATAAATTAATTTCTGTCACCTTCCCTCATATTTTTCCAGCTCGAAATGATCTCTTCTAAGGGCTATGATATACAAATTTGTGTTTCAAATAAGGATTTACTCAGGCACTTGAGGGAAAACAAACCTGCCTACAGCTCAACACCATTGTAATGTATTAGTATGCTTGGGCTGCCATAACAAAATACCATAGACTGGTTAAAATGCCACTAAACAAAATAAATTTATCTTTTTTTTTTTTTTTTTTTACTGCTCTGGATGCTGGGATGTCCAACATCAAGCTGCCAGCTGATTCTGTCAGGGCTTTCCTCCTGGTTTAGCTGGCTGTCTTCTTGCTGTGTCCTCTCATGGAGGAGAAAATGAGCTCTTTGGTGTCTTTTCCTATAAGGACACTAATTCTATCATATCAGGGCCCAAATGTCATGATCTCATTTAATACCTCCTGGTAGGATCTGTCTCCAGTCACACCGGGGGGTTATAGTTTCAACATATGAATTGGGGGGGAGGAGTGGACAAATTAGTCCATAGCAGCAGGTGTGTAGGATGGTCCTTCATGAAAGGCATAATAAAAGTCAGACACCTTGACTTTCAAATGAACGTTAAATGCATAGTTGGTATTTATAAGTATTTATAGAAATTTATATTCAATCAAAAACACCAAAACTTCAGTCACTGGCCAGAAACCTCACTCTAGAATTAATAGACATCTGACTCTATGAAAAGCTTGTCTGACACAAAATCTCAGAATGAAAATGAGACGTGCTAAGTAGCCATTCATTCCTCTAGATTCTTCAACTTCTGCTTCCATATCAGGTCAGATTACCAGGAAATTATCTTCATGGAAGTTATTACCTTAGTATCCTATAACATTGCTTTCACAAAACTGTGGTTTGAAGTGTTTATATAAAAATAGTCCATAAGAATACTATTTGACTTGTTCATAAAAAGACTATTGATACCATTTTTAAATGTTTTTCAGTGTCATTTATATCTTTACATGTAAATAGAATAGGATTTCCAGGATACAAAGTACACATAAAAATGTGTTAGAAAAAAATCCTTCCTCACTGATGTTTTCCCATTAAACAATAACATTAATTACAACGTTAACAACCATAACATCTATTAACATTTATTAGACCTTTAGCGTCCACAAAATACTATACCAAGTGTTTACATGTTTCCATTATTTTTTTTTCTCACAAAAAAGCCCTATTATGAGAATAGTATTCTTATCATAATTATCAGGTAAAGAAATGAAGTCAGCAGGATTAAATAATTTGACCTGGGATTCCAAGATATAAGTGACGGAATGAAAATACAAATCCATGTGACTGCAGAACTGATTCCTTCACTATCAACAAAAAAATTTACTTACTTGAAGGGTAAAATTATAAGAAAAAAATCATTTTCAATTGAATACAGCAGCAGCTTCAGGATCTTTATATCACTTTCTAAAGAGACAGACCTATCCTCTCTAGGAATCACGTTGACAAGGCCTGCAGAGATGGTAATACTTGTGGAGCTATCTATTTTCCATGGTCTTGTAGAACTGATGATCATCATCAATAGTCATGCATACAGGAAAACCCAGACAAAATCATTTTCCCTATGAGGAAAATCAATCAGTGATGCTACAAAGATTCAGGTTATAATGAATCACGTCAACACAATTTTTAAGTGCTATCATTTGACTGGTGAAATATTTGACTATGTATTTGTACAGTCATGTAAAGTAATGGCTTTTTCATGGCAGTGACTGATGAGAAAAGCCAAGAATCCAGTTCAGACATGAGGAGGAGACCAAAAGTTTATGTCTAGAGGAGGTACATTCTCTGATTCTGACAGAGATGGAGAAGACTGCAGAATTTTCTCCCATTCTTGAAATGTGTTTAACAGAACAGCCATCAGATAATCAACTTACTTGAAAAGTTCCCTACAGGAAACCATAAAGATGCTGTAAGTACTGAGGGTTTCAAAACACTCAGAATCATGAGACAAATGCTACTAGTATTATTTCTGGCTTGTATGTGAAGTTTCATGTCATAGAAAATGTATTGATTTTTGACTGTGGAGGAGGCAATTTTGATACGTCTATTCTCTTTTTTTCAGATCAGATTTTTAAAGATATTCCACAGCTAGAAGCATCTATTTGCTCACTTGGGTTGAAAAAAACAGTTAAAAAAAATACTAGTGAAGTACTTTATTGCTGCGTTCAAGAGAAAGCGTAAGAAGGACATCAGTGAAAGCGAAAGAGCCAGCCATCCACACCGCTTGTGAATGTACAAAGGGCACATCTTTCCAGAACTCAATCTGTTAGGAATTGCCTTCTGCCTCTCTATTATAACGCCATTTAGAAGAATAAAATGATGACACCACATAATCTGTAGAGAAGGCTCTTTGATCATTGTCTGATGATCGATACACTAAGGTTCAGAAATTCTTACAGGACTTATTCAATAAGTAATTAAACAAAAGTATCAACCTTACAGAGACAATCACTTATTATATAACACAAGTATCTAGGCAGCTACCTCACCTAGGAACACATATGAAAATAATTTGTTGTTTTTTGGATATCATAATTTTCCCTTGGTATCGAAATCATACTGAGCAGAAATAAGTGTGCTCATTTAGACATAAAGATGAGTCTTGATGAGTCACCAAGGATGACTATATACTTGGCAAGTTCAAGCTCACAGATAGCTCTCTATAATGTATAGCATTGCTCAGAAGGAAGAAAGCTCACATAAATGCCAATAAAATTCTCAACAGTTCTGCTGTGGACGCAGATAGAATTATTACAGGAAAAGAGAATAATATTTGAGCTAGGAAATTTTGGGCTGTGTAATACAGGAATCTGAACAATACAAAACTATAGATACATGAAAAAGATGAAAATCTGTTCCGAGAACTTACCCAAATTATGTGCCTGTACCACCAAAATCAAATCTTCAGAAGAAGATAAGAACTTGAAAGATCAGCAATAAGCAAATGAATGCAATGAAATCATCAACTGGATGGCAAAAAAAAAAAATCAGACTGTTCAGGAGATAAAAAATTTGAGTATCCACAGAAAGATGCAACCCTGTCATCTTGAGATTATGCTAGCGTTCAGGGGTCATGGTCAGAGGGAGGCAAGGAGGCTCTGGGAGCAAAGACCCTCCCTATGGAGAAGCATCTTCTGGACACATAACAGGGAAAAAGAACAGTGAAAGAAGAACTAATTCTACACAGCTAGAAAAAAAAAGTTGAAGATCTAGAATTTGTAGCTGAACCTGTTTAGTGGAAGTTTAAAAATCATTATCATGTTTAGCTGATGTGTAGGAAGATTTCTGATTACTCTGAATACTTACGAGTGTGAACAGAAAACAAAGTAAATACTTCTTCACTTTATCAATGCTATAAACATGGGAGAAATACAATTTAGTGTACCAGACACTAAAGGTCTGTTTTAAATTGGTGCTAATAAAAAATAAATATAATCTTCTTGAAAACTGGGAAAAGGCCAAGCAAATTGCTTTCAGAAATGAGAAATGATACGTTCCGATCCACTGATTAAACTAAAAATATATTGCAAGTGATTTAAAAATAGTGAGCAAGTTTTTGAGAATGAAATTAATATCTGATACTAAGGCTTTATTATTTAAAATTATATTCAAACATAATTTACCCCATATGAGCGAACTATGGTTCTTAAGAAAGACAATATCTTGCCTCCTGTCATACTTTCAAAATCTTGCAATTATATTTTTAATTCAGTGATTTGTTTAAATCACTATATGCTAAATACTATGCTAGAGGCTGGGTTAAATACAAATATAATTGAGACATGATTCTCCATTCTCAATTAACATAACGAAAGTGAGTCATATACATAACAGCCTATAATAACACAGATTGCAATGATAGTCATAAAGTTCTAGTCACCCTAAAAGTACACTTTTGAATTTATATTGTCTCTGTAGTACCCTTTTAAAAAATAAAAGTTGTTTATTCTAATAGGCCCCATAAACAACAGTAGCAAAACAACCTTTAGCCTTGAGACACAAGACAGGTACATTTTGATGGAGTGTAAGATGTCATATGTGAAGAATGGACTAAATTATGTGAGTGACTGAAGAGAAATCCTCTGGGTGGGAAAAGAACAAGAGAAATAGCAGAGGCCTAGAGACAATGGAGAACAAGATGGATGAGAAGTTCTTAAATGGAAAAGAATAAAACAAACTTATATACATTTCATAAGTTTCCCCAAGGTCATATTTTGTTTCCAATGAATACAATTAGAATCATGAATCAACTGACTTTAATTTATATTTCAGTTGTTTTAAAATTATTGATCAAAAATTTTTGTTATAAGATATTCTTCCTAAATTTGTAGGAAATTCCACTGAATTTAAAATTATTTCCCACTTTTAAGTGTTAACTTTTTATAAAAGACTTATTACTATATGTATACAAGGACATTTTAAAAATATTTTTCATGAAGTAGAAAAATACTTTACTTACAATTATCTGATATTTTTGAAGAAAAATAGTTCAAAAGACCTAAAACACTTGTTTCCCTCAATTCTGGCTGTTCTGGTTTGTCCATGGGTAAAATATCTTTTTGCGAACTTTTACATTCACAGAAACCAACAAAAGCAGTTTTTCGCAAATTAGAAGTGGCTGCATACAAGCAGATTTCTGCGAGAATTGTTGTATATATGTAGACTACATTCCAGGCCCAGGAAAAATCATCTACCTTGCAGCTTTCTTCCTAAAATGAGAAAATAGCTATTAGATAATCCAAGTATGTTTTTGTCATAGCTAAGAACTATGTACTTATAATAAGAAATATCTTCAAATTTCATAGAGCTGTTAAAAGACCATAATCAACTAATATTTCTAAAATGTACTCATTAAAAACAGATTTTAGGGCTGGCCAAGTGGCTTAGTTGGTTAAGAATTAGCTTAAGAGCACGAGAGCTGAGCAACAGGACCGCCAGTTCAGTTCCCACATGGGCCAGTGATGCTGTGCCTGAGCTGAGCTGCCGCTGAGCTGCCAACAGGTGGCAGGATGGCTCAACTGGTGAGAGCACGTGCTCCTAACAACAAGATTGCCTGTTTGATGGTGGGCTAAGCCCGCCCGCAACTAAGACTGAATTCAGCGCCTTGAGCTGAGCTGCAACCTGGATGGCTCAGTGAACAGAGCATGTGCTCTTAACAAGAAGGCTGCTGGTTTGACTCCCGCATGGGATGGTGGCTACGCCCACCCACAACTAAGATTGAACACAGCACTTTGAGTTTAGAGGCCATGAGCTGCCAACGGGCAGCCAGATGGTGACTGGCACCCTCCACAACTAAGATTGCAGAACAACAACTTGGCTGGTCCCCTCCCCCAATTCCCCTATTTAAAAAAACACACACAAAAATAAAACAGATTTTACATGGGTAGATTGCATAAAACCCAGTTCAAAAAATATAAAATACAAGTAGCTAAAATGTATATAGAGAACTACTGTTTAATTCCCTTAGTCATGAATGGAATGTAAAATAATCCTACAAGATACTATTTTTCATATCATATTTTAAAAGAATCTTTTCTATGTAAAGCTCAATTCTAGATTTTAAAAGTGTGGCTCTTTTAGACATTTTTCATAAGAAAGCAACAAAGCTATATATTCTGGAAAATAATTTGGACATCTGTCCTAAGACTTTCAAGTACATAGTATATCACTCAGTAATTTGATTTTCTGAATTTATTCTAAAGAAATAGTCATAAATGCAGATAACATTTTTACATATAAGAATACCAGTTCAACATTATTTGTAATTAACTGAATTATTATAAACAAACTCAATGTTCAACAGTACAGAAATGATTAAATTATCTCATCTCCACTAAAGTGTAAATTCTAACAAAACATGGTACAAAGAAAAATGTTTTTATAATATATTTTAAACTTTTTAAAATAGGAAACTGGTCCACATATAAGTATATGATCTCAAATTTGTTAATACAAGTTAAAGTTCCTCTCGAGTGTGTGTGTGTGTGTGTGTAAATATATAATCTATTTCTATCTCTATCTACATATATATTTATATTTACCTGTCTATCTCTACTGGGATATATGATAAATATACATTTACTTTTATATTTAATTATACTTATTATTACAAAGTTATGCTCATTATAAGCCCTAATATGATATAGCATTTAAATAGTGTCAAAAAAAATTGTTTCTATTCAGGTCTTTTTGCACACCAAAATTAACAATGCATTGTTACCTCTTTCTGAACAGACATAATGCTTAAAAGAAAATCTCTCATTAGGTCCGTTAAAGTTTTCAAGCAGGCCATATTTAATTTGGCAGCCTCTCCAAGGACCAACAAAGCCAGTGCTGAATCCAACCTGAAAATTTTATTAAGAAAACGACAAGGACTTTAATGTAAAATAATAATAAACAGTTATTAATGTCAAAAATAAGAGGCCAGAAGAAATAAGTATCCTGGGTTACCAGATACATTTACTTTCAGTAAAGTACAGTATTGGTTGACACTGGTTATGATAAAAGTCCTCAAGAAAGAGCCACATTTTGGCAAGATATCTGAGTTCAGAGTAGTGTTTTGACAAAACTCTGAGAATAATAAATATTACAAAATATAACATTTCTTTATAGATGCTATATAATAAGCAATCAAGGGCTCAGGTTCTAGAGATTGTCCCCAAAATCTCACAATAGGTTTTGATTTTCACCTTTGTGCAACTGATTCCAAGAGGTGAGTTTCAAGAGAATGTTTTCTTTTCAAAAGAGAGAATAAAAAATGGTCTTCCTAATTATTCAAAAAATTCAGCATTATTTGATTTTACAAGAAGTTCAGTTTCTCAAAATAAAATTTATATTGCACATTAATTAAATGAGACAGTCAAGATTTATTTAGCTAAATATTATATAATAGCTGAGAAATCATACAAGAAGCTATTAGCCATTAATGTACATGTATTCTGATAGTTTCAGGAAATTATACATTTAGTGCTATTTTTAGCCAATTAAAAGAGGTATAGTTTGAAAGAAAATTGCTAAAAATGTAAATGTAAAAATTGCCTAGAGCTGCATATTGCATTGATTTATAGGCCATTAATAAGTTAAAGAGTTAGTACATTTTACAACTACATTTTAATTTCACTACTGTGATATTTCAGGCCAGTGTTTCAAGTTCATCATCATTTTTAAAAGGAAACATCTCTCATCATGGAAAAAAAAGACAATTCTTTAGATTAAAAGGAGCTTTACAGATCTCAATGTGGTTTCACATAAATTATCTCATTTGATCTGAATTACAATTTTTGACACATTCAAGACCTTTTTTAAACCTCTTTGTAATGTTAGAAAATTGAGACATAAATAGATCTAGGAGATTTGTCCAAGCTCATGTCGTAAGCTAGGTTAACTATAACTGAAGTCTTCTCCCACCTATAGGTATTTCCTGTTTTGCTATTTTGCTTTTCCAAACTATTATTTAAGTACATCAATATTTAACTTTAGTAATACAACATTGTTTATTGCCTACTTAATATCATTTGGCTCCTTCTTCCTTTTAGAACTGAACCTCAATTTTGTTCAAGATGGCAAAGTACTCAGTTAATATTGCCCCCTCAACATGGAAATGTTCTATATCTTGATTGCAGTAGTGATTATATTGGTGTATGCATTTGTCAAAGGTCGTAGATCTGTATACATAAAATGTGTACATTTCATTGTATGTAAATTATACTTCAATAAATTTGATTTCAAAAATGACTCAATGGAATTGTAATAGATAAGCATGATATCGGGGGTGGGAGGGCAGTAGATGGGGGAGGGGGGTTGTTACTTTGTGAGGGTGAAAAGGGTAACTATTGCATTGTTCTGTACACCTGAAACTAACAATAAAAAAAAATGACTCCTCAGACTCCATTGCAGCTTGGAATAGCCATAAATGTAGGTTTGGTCAATATAAATGGAAATATACCATGAAAGACTTCTAGGTAAGCTATTATTTCTCTGATTAATAAAAAAGATTAAATTTAGATAACAGGTGGTTTTTTGTTTTGTTTTGTTTTTTCTCCTTTGCTCACCCTTTTCCTCCTGCTTGGGATGCATACTCGTACATGATACCAGAAGTAGAGTAGCCATCTTGCAACAATGAGGATAAAAGTCACATACTAAGAAGAAAAGGAAGGCAGAGGAGCTTGGGTCTTGGGGATTCCCTTAAGCATGTGTATCAGTAGTGCACTGCTTGTCATGTGCAATAAATAAAGCCTATTAGGCAATATAGTTGTGGTCAGGTTACTATTTCATCCACAAGAACTGAATCCTAACTGATACACTTAACATAATGTTTACTAGCATAAACTTTAAAGTCAGAAAACTTATGGATAAGTTCTTATCTCCACCACTAATTAAGCTAGGGCAATTTGTGTGCCCTCCCTCACTCTTAATCTACTCATCTGTAAATTAAAAACAGCAGAACCTACTTTTCAGAGATATTCTGAGCTTTAAATGAAATACTTTATGTAAAATTGCCAGGTTCAAAATACTGAACTGAATTATAAAAATACTATTCTTTCAAAGTCAAAGAACACAAGTTTCTTTTTCTGTGAAGTCCTGGAGTAACAGAAGGAAAAGGTTCAAATGATGACGTCATTCCCCAGAGGATGCGGGGCTCATACACCATGATATGGTCAAGTAAAGGAGAGGACAGGCTTAGAGTTCAAAAAACTTCTTTTCCCAAAATATACCTCATCATTATATGGCTTTGTTTCTTCTTTTCTCTTTCAAGTCTGGAAAATTATAACTAACCTGGGACACTCTCACTGAAATATGGGCTAAAAAAGATTTACCTGCGTCAGCCACCTATGGTAGAAAAAATGCTGCACCAGAAACACTAATTTCAATCAATGCTGCTGATTGCAAAATTTTCTATAAGTAAAAACGCTTTTTCCAAAAATAGAAGCATCAATACCTATAAACTGGTGTTTGTTGAAAATCAATGCACGTGGAAAGGAGAATTCAAATTGGATTATGTTAGAAATTTTAACACAGCACTTGCTTCTTTGTGAACTCATTATAATATACCAAGTCCCAATCATTAAAACATTGACTTTGTTTTACAATGTCATGAAAGTAAACATATACAAAGTAATTTATAAATATTATAGATTCCCCATTAATTTTGTAAGAAACCAAGGCAGAGGTTTACTAGCTTGTCTAAAATTGCATAGTTGCTTTATTTGATTAATTGTTACTTGATTAATCTTAGTTTTTAGTTTAACTTTGAAAATCAATGTGAATCACTGCCCATAACTGAGCAGTACCAGGTCCCAGACTGTGCTTCAGCTAGCCCGACTTCAGTCCAGTGTTCTTCCTATACTTATAGAAGTCAGCTAACCTATAATAACTTAGGGTTTCATAAAAAGCTACCTGTCTGTGTACATACACCCTTATAAAAAGTTTAGGAAATTCAGCATCAAAATAGTTTTCTGGGTTCTCCTTACTCCTCTACATCTGTTTCCTCAATGACAAAATTGTAATTTTAAAAGATGGAATTAAATGCTTCCAAGTCAGAACCCATGTACAGGGTAATTTTAATCTTTCAACAGATACCTCAGGAAACACTGGCGATGTCAAAAACCCACACAGCCTGAAGACTAAGAATGAACAAGAGGTCACTAAGAATAGCAACTTATAGGGAATTTCCGTAAACCACAGAATTAATGGAACTGGATCGAAAGCAGGAATAAGGAGTATTCACATGCCACTTCATGAAACACAGCAGCCTTTTGTCCCCAAAGAAAGTTAATTTTTTTTTAAAAAAAGAAGACCTCTACTGTCTACCCTATTTTTCACAGAATCAACAAAAGTGCATTTACTTTGGGGTACTGATTTTTTTAAGGAGCCAGAGTATTATTTCTTTGCTTCTTTCTCTTCTCTCCATAATTATTCAGAGGTGACAACTTCCAGGTGACAAAAAGTGTAGAAACACTTCTTGTGAGGGTGTGTGTGTAGGAGATGGGGCAGGAGGGGTGCTATAAGACAATACAGAAGTATATTTTCTCCTTAAAGGTAAAATATCAAAGAGTAGGGAGAATACAGGAAGGCCCCTGATGATATTTCATGTTGAGTGTTACAGCTTTTAATAATGCTGTTAGGTACGTAGTGAACACAAATCTCTTATTTAAAAATATCAAGCTTTTTATAGATTTCTCCTAGCTCTGAGATAAATAGAATGGAAAATGGAGGAGGAAACCCAACATGAGACCAACGAGAAATGTATTATAGCAAAGGTCAAAGCGAGTGTCAGTCTGAATATTCAGAGAGGATCATACCTCTGAAAATGATTTCTTACAGGACCCAGAGACATTTTTACAAGATTCTTAAGTATCTTTAGTAAAGCCCAGGAAGAAGAAACAGTAACAAAAGCTTGGGCACTGATATTAAAGGCACTATATTAAGAAAACAAGAGATTGCAAGGAAATTAAAATTACAAAAATATAATTCAAATCCATAATTGAGAATGTTAACCACAAAACTAACACATGAAAGGGAGCAAACTTGAAAAATTCTTCTATAATTTAAAGAAAGGCAACTGCATTTAAAGCTGGCAAGCTGATATCCATTATTAATATCTATTGAAACAACAAAAGAAACATTAAATCAAGAAAATAATAAATGTAGTCCCACAAGATAAAAAAACAAAAACCTTACAGATTTTAAAGTTATGAAGAATAGGGGATCCAAGTAAAACAGAGCCTGCCCACTGCCAAGAAACCCAAAATTTAATGTAAAATTTAATGCAGGCATATATGAGTTTTCCACCAAAATGTAATAAAAACCCTAAGGACAGAGAGGCAGGAGTTGGGAACACATGTAAATAATGAGTAATCAATGGAAAGCCTTCAAAAAATATAGACCAATAGCTAGAGCCTTTGTGTGTAGTTTCACATAGTAGGGGCTTTTCTGTAAGTAAAATGGAGGATTTGCCCCAATAGCTTCCTAAAATCGTCAGTGATACAAGAGAGGCTCTTGTCTACTGCCTGCCTACCAAATCACAAAGGTGTTCCTAAAAAATTCTGGATTGAAAATAAAAGTTTAAAAAGAGGTAGACTGACTGAACATATCATCATAACTGTAAGTTAGAAAACAACATAGCAATATATATAGATTTAAAAAGCGAATTAAATTAAAAAAAATACAGCTGGGAACATGGAAGCCTATTTCCAGACAAAATGTACATTATACTCTTTAGAGGAAAAATAAATGGTGACAAATGCTACACTCAGCCAAGGGCTGGTTGTGTGTAATCAAGGGCTCACCTAATTGGTCACCTATGTTCATACTTAGGAATTTACTTACTGCACTGTACACCTAA